TACCAGCCTGCCATGACAACCGGTGAACCCGTGAACATGGAGTGGAGGAAGGTAACATTGGCCGGCCAGCAGTCACCAGCTCGTGTGGCCTAATGGATAAGGCGCCTCCCTCCTAAGGAGGAGATTGCGGGTTCGAGTCCCGCCTCGAGTATGTCCGAAAGCCTGCAGGACAACGGCGGTTCCATTGGTCGCTTCCATGGTGTGCCCTGCAAGGGTAAGGCAACTGCAACGACGGGTTCGTTTCACGGGGGTCCACGGAAAAGGTTGATTCATGATTCATATGGTCATATGGCCCTCTAACACCATGCTAGTAGGGGGGATTGAGTTTGCACCCGCGGTTGAAGCCTCGCTGAAGCCGGCTTCACTGGCACCTCGCAAGACTCACCAAGATCCCGCCCAGCAACGGCGGGGGATTTGCACTGGAAGTTTCGTTGAAGCCGGCCTCAAACTCTCCGCACAGGTCCACACACCACCGCGGCATCGGGGCATCGTTTAAGCTGGCCTCAACTTGACATGACACAATGCCCCAAGAACAAGCAGAAGCCAACCGGTTGTGCTGAGTCACATCATCTGTCACCTCTATGGGATGCACTGTTCTAGAGCCAGGCTGACTGTGCCTCAGGGCCGCTGCGACCGTCATGTTTTCGAATGCACCAGATCTCTTTCGAACTCCGAAGATACGCCGTGGAGAGCCCGCCTATAGTACTGGCCTGGAGGACCGGCTGGGAAGCACTTAGGACCAAGGATGCTGTCAGCGATCAGCCATGGGTAGCACCTGGGAATCGTAGTTTTCACTTCCAAAAAGCCCGTCACCGTCATCCAGGTGTTCGAGATCGTCGAACTGCGCCTCGACAAGAGGTATATACCCGACCGTACCGGACGCAGAACCTGCCGGATAAAACTGAAACAACACAAAGAAAAAAGTAGCATGGACGCTGCGCAAGGGTGACAAGCGCAATCGGAGAAGTCTATGTTTTACGTTAGCGCAAGCGCCCATTCCCAGGCATTATGACGAAGAGTTCTGTGCGCCCTGGACAACTACAACTTTTATCTGGGCTAAGCTACATATTCTTCAGTTCTTCGTCCCACAAAACAGCAAACAACCTTCAGTACGCGACCCAGGGTGGACATACTTTGCTGTGGCTCTCATCGCAATGCGATCATGAGCAACGCCTGTCCGTTAGGTCACTGGGTCTGGCAGTACGTCTGGTCGCAGTCCTGATGTTCAGTGGTAAACCTAGCAACCCATGCGACGCTTATGAGACCTGGCATAGCATGTGAACGGAGGAGAAACAGCAGGAAACAAGTCGACCCAGGGTGGACTCGAACCACCATAATTTGCTGGCTTCTGCCGATCATGGCAAACGCAAAGCAACGCCTTATCCATTAGGCTACTAGGTCTGGCAGGTCGTGCGCCGGGTCCAGGATGAACCATTGAAAATGACAGTGGGTGGTAACGTTGAAGTGCCATTTTCGGGAGATCATTGCATAGCGAAGCTTTACAGGCGCTCAGCTTCAAGCACGATCTCTAACTCTAGCTGCATACTCGTTGTCAGTGCTTTAATTTGCAAATTGAAGCAGAGCTCTGAGTGCGCTGGGTATCTGCGAGTTGCAGGTTTTGAAACAGAAATCATTGGGTATCTGCGAGTTGCAGGTTTTGAAACAGAAATCATTGGGTGCTACTGGAGCAGCCAAAAGTGGCTCTGGGTCCTGGGCTTGTGAGGAATCGACTTTCGATTCGCGAAAAACTTTTGCCGAACTCCGCGACGTTGTCTTACCTCCGTGCATGCAGTATCCTGCGCAGCACGCCACATGCACCTGCCGGGAGTCGAACCCGGGGCACAAGCATGGGAGGCTTGTATGTTGCCGCTACACTACAGGTGCCCTTGTCAAGAGCCGGTCGTCGTCCTACACAATTACGGAGATCGTCAGCATGACCTGTGGAGTTGAGAGATGCAGAACACGCAGCTGGGATATCAGTCGTAACACAGACCCCATTGAGACCCCCACGCATTTTGCCAATTATGTCATCACAGCTGCGCACTATGACTATGAGACCATGCTTTTGGCACGGTTAATTTTTTTGCAGACTCAATAATCGATCTGCAACGATATAATGGCATCCAGTTGCAAAACAAGCCAGAAGCACCTGTGGTCTAGTGGCTATGACGTCAGCCTCACACGCTGAAGGTCGCCAGTTCGATCCTGGCCAGGTGTATGATTTTTTGAAGTGCATCTTGATGCTCCGATCGAAGCCGTAGCTGGGCATGACAAGATCACCGCGCTCGTGGATTTTGGCCAGAAGAAGCTGAAAGCTGAAGCCGAAGATCTCTGAGAACACTCGCTCTACAAACGAAAACATTGCTCCCGATATGCAAAAGATCTTTGCACACGTGAACAAGGAAAAACTCTTGCTACAGTTTCTGGCTTACGAGCAAACTCACTCACACCACGGACAAGTTGGAATCAAACAAAGACATGAGCCTGGCAGGACTCGAACCTGCAATCTTTGGTTCCGAAGACCAACGCCTTATCCATTAGGCCACAGGCCCCCTGTAGCCTTTCTCATGGCGAATCGTTCACCACGACATAAGCTGGAAAGTTCTTATTGAAGGATCAGGTTTGTCAAGAAAGGGCACACGTGTGCTGGCGAAGTGCACGCATGCCATCACTATTGCTCTCTGCTTTCGAAGAGGCTCTGAAAGTCCATGCGTGATGGGCGAAAATTTGGCGAAAATCAACGAAGCTACTGCGACCGGTCCGACCGGGTGGAGCCGATGCCGCTGGCGACTTTGGCCGTAGTGCCTGAAGCTCGTGAAACTTGCAGTCATTGCATGTACATAACTCCATGGTTGCAGTCATTGCATGTACAGAGTTTGAGCGAATTTCACTTGCAAAACAAACGATGCTTTTTTGCACTCAACAGAACCTTAATGGCTGCAAAGCCTCCTGTGGGATTCGAACCCACGACCTCCCGCTTACTGAGCGGGTGCTCTACCAACTAAGCTAAAGAGGCTAGTAATTGCTGGCACTAGCTAGCTTTTCTTGCCAGATTCGCCGACATTTTCGGAACCCAAACGAGCGCCCTCAAGATCCCATGATGTACTCTCGGATTGGCGGCGGGGATGCCGACACGAATGTCGCCAGTGTCTCGAGAGACGCTTAGACATTGGCTGAGAGTGTGCAACGTGCAACATAAGATATGAGCTGCCCAGGACTCGAACCTGGAATCTCCGGCTCCGGAGGCCGACGCCTTATCCATTAGGCCAACAGCCCTTGTGGCATCTCAAGCAATTGCAAAGCTTACGCTGAACCACTAGCGCCCAAGGCGACCAGGCCTCGGCCTACCTGCACCGGGCTTTCGGCGGGCGAGTCGAGGCGCTGGATTCCCTCGGCGCGGTAGCTGACAGCTTCCTTTCTTACGAGGACACCCGATCACAAATTAGCTCCACGCGGTTTCACAAACATCCAGGTTGACTAAGAGCATCGAACATCGAGTGAATCGAGCAGGCATCTGAACAAGTCGCAAAATGAAAAATATGAAGTGTAAGCTAGCAGCCAGCAGTAGCCGGTAGCCACCAGCACTCTGTCTCAGCTTCCTGCTTGCGGCACAGGGGACCGGCGCGCAACTTTGGCTTCTGGCCATGACAGCTCTGCGCAAGACTGCATCCCCTGTGGGACTCGAACCCACAATCTTCGGATTAGAAGTCCGACGCCTTGTCCATTAGGCCAAGGGGACTTGTGATGAATGCACTGAATTGCACGACCTGAGTTGTTAACCTTCTTGCTGCCGCGTCAAGGTCATGGCCTGACGGGACGCCCATAAACCAACGATTATTGGGAAATATCCCAGGCCGCAAACGAATGCATAAACGCAAAGGAATCTTAAGTAGCTTGCACTTTGCCACCAAGACGACGAAGCATGTTCCCTGCGGGGTTTGAGCCCGCGACCTATGGCTCATAAGACCATCGCTCTAACCACTGAGCTAAGGGAACTTGATCATCTGGCTGGCAAGCATATCTATAAGCGTGCAGCATGACGTGCACGATGTCAAGAGTCAAGACGATGTAAATAACATAGCGGAGCCTGGTTTCGATTCAGGGACCTTTGGGTTATGGGCCCAACACGCTAACCACTGCGCCACTCCGCTGGCGGTGCGCGCCAGATACATGCCATACTAGACTTCACCACTCTCAGCGGCTGAGCAAAAAATTAATTTTTTGCTCCTTTTCCCATGTAGGTAGTATGTTACTGGGGGTTAAGGTTTAAGGAAAGGGAGAAAGAGTGAGAGAAAGGTGAAAGAAAGAGAGAAGTCGTCGGCAGCCAGCGTCGCAGCCAGCCTGGCATGTGTGCTTGTGAGGGTTCAGGGTTCAGAATAATTGGGAAGGCCTGACAACTCACCAGCTGGCTCTTCGCGCTCCGAGGATTTTCACTCAGCATGGACAAGCGAAAGTTTCGTAAGAAGCTGCTCCAGGGTCAACTGGTAAGCGGTGCATGGATGCTGAACGACAAGTTCAAAACTCAGTCGAGGATGTTTGGGCTTCTCAGGCATGGCTCCTTTGTACACGTACATGCACTTTCTTTTGGATTTGCCCACACTTCTCTCAGAGAAGGCGACGAGCAGAGATGAGTGCTTCGGCCAAGCTGCCTCAAAAGCCGCAGTGATCCAGAGATGCATGTGCACATAAGCAGCGGACTGGTAGCTAATCACCTTTCCGCTTTTCCCATTCGATCTCAGCCACTGTACATCTGCAATGCGGATGCCCCTCATTCGGGCCACAAGAGACTCGGATGTATGCAGGCCAGGCGCCAGATTTCTGAAAACCAAAACATCCGCTTTCCACCAGTCGGATGACGGATGAAACCTTGCCGCAAGTTTCTCATCAGCCCATTGAAGTCCTTTGTTGCTGATCCCAGAAGAAACTTGAAACCCTAAACCCGAAACCCTAACTCTAAGTTTCGCCCCCAAGCCGAAAAGATAACAAAATGTGGGATAACCCTATAGATGAGCCAAGATGCCATCGAGCAGCAGCACGTGCACTTGACTGTCGCTCAGTGGTGGTGCTCTCGCGATGGATGCCCCACCAGGCTTGAGCCCTTCAGACTTGTAGATGCCTCCGCGTACATCCACGTGGGGGATTTTCAGACCCAAAGGTGTATCCGCAGACACTCGTTGCTTCACCGTCTGCACTCTTTTTTGGTCCGCCTCGATCTCCTCAAGCGTCAAAGTGTCATCCTTCTTGTCCTTCTGATCTTTCTTGTCTTTCTTGTCCTTCTTGCACTTCTTGTCGTTTTTGTCCTTCTTTTCCTTCTTGTCTTTTTGATTTTCCCCTTTGTCCTTCTTGTCCTTCTTGTCCTTCTTGTCCTTCTTGTCCTTCTTGTCCTTCTTCTGCTTCTTGTCCTTTGCGATGCTGGTCGGAACAGTCTCAGGCTCTGAAGGTGGCTTCGGGATGGATGCCGAAGCGGTCGGGATGGATGAGGAAGCAGCCGGGATGGATGAAGAAGCAGCCGGGATGGATGAGGAAGCAGCCGGGATGGATGAGGAAGCGGCCGCGGTAGGCCCGATGCAAGAGCTGCGGGCAGCAGTAAGGTCTGTGACAGCTTGCACCATATCATCCATTCGACTGCTTGCCGCGGGGCTTTGCAGCTCCATGGCACCCACAGTTGCAGCAACGCATTTTGTGTGTGCCTCCATCTTCGCCCGAACCGATGTGTTTGTCTTTTGTCTCAGTCCAGACAGCCGTGGCTTCTCACATGAGGCATCGCCAGTCTTTCGACTCAACGTTTCACGTGTGCCAAAAAACTCCTTGTAGATGGCCTGTGCCTGCAGTGCAAACTTGGATGGCTTCCAGTTGCCACGTGTATCCTTTCCATCCCGAAGATGCTCTGCTGTGATGCGGCCATGCAGGTTAAGCTTGATGCCATCTTGGAGTGTGTAGACCTGTAAGCGATGCGCCCTGTTTTTCAGCTCCGTGACGGCAACTTCGTGAAGCGAACGTTCAACCGCAGCTGTTGACGTCTGGTACGTCAAAGCGTGCTGCACAAGCCAGCACGCCTGCAGCCGGGAGGATGCTTGCTCCTTTCTCAGCTCTCGAAGTGTGGTCAGCCAAGCAGCGTTTGAGCCCTGCTTGTCTTGCTGCAGATGCCAAAAAGCTCGGCTCATCAGGCCTCCAGGGGCCATGCCATCGGACCCACCACTGAGCTGCTGCCTGAGGTTTCGGTCAGGAAATATCGGCAGCAGCAGAAGCCCTCAACCATAATTGAACCCCAATTCCCAAACCCTCAACCATATAGAATCAAACCCTAAACCATATAGGACCGGAGCACCAGGTGGCTTCAGCATCAAGCTTGTGGTGCGCGCAGATGGCTGCCACCAACGCTTTCCTCTGACTCAGGGCCAGCTTGTTCTGCAGGTCTGCAAAGGCCATCGCGTTGGAATACTCGTAAGCCGGGAAATTGGACTGGAAGAAAGCTTGGAATACCCGGAAGATGCGCCCAGCTGCATCCCTGGATGCCTGCAGGTCACCGTCGGCGACATCCCAGACAGCGATTGCTCTGAGTGGCCGCGCACCGCGAGAGCCAGCCTGGCGAGAGCCAAGATACGTGATGACCCCGACCTCATGCAAAATTCGCATAGTCGTCTGGGTCACTGTATCGGTCGCAGAATCCAGGAAAACACCACCCTTCTGGAACATAAACTCCATGTTGTGCATGACCTCCGCAGCCTGGCTATGGGGCCAGGGTTTCCGTACAACACTACACTCTGTCTTTAAAATAATTCCGAACCTGCTTGGCGGTGACGCAGGCTTCGTCGTTGTCGCTGTCCGCCAGGCGTAAAAATCTTTGACCTACCATCATCGAGTCAGCCGCCAAAGCAGCATTGATCAGCCGCTGAAAAGCGGAGGGGCCAGAAAGCTCCTGCAAAAGATCTTCTGCAAAGTGGCGGTCCTCTGCGTCCCCATCTTCGGCCAGCTTTGCCAGGAACTTGTACACCGATTTCAAGGAGTGCAAAAGCTTAAAGAGCGGTGTGCACAAGCTGTTAAACCTTTGCTTGGCATAGCTGAAGTTTCGAAGAGCCTGACTGAACTCCTTCTGTTGAGCTTCAGCCCAAAAGATGCGAAACTTCACGGAATCTTGCAGCCTTCGGGCCAGACTACCTTCTCCTCGGACAAGAAGCTCGAGGAGTCCGTCCGTCATCTCATCCAGATACTTCCATGCCCCGCGCTGTACATTCCTCATGCGATGCGCTCTGTCAGTGACGATATGTTGACAATGAGGAAGTACGTCCGAAATCCTGGACATTGCGGTTTGCTCGGATGGACCGCCGTCGATGACCACGGATGTAATGATGCCCTGCACAGGAACTAGGGAGCGGAGAGTAACAGTGGGGTCTAAGTTAGACGGTCTAAGTATGCGGCTCACAGACTTGGAAGACTAAGCAATCATTTACTTCACCCAAGTCCTGCAGATGCTTCAGCAGTTCCCTGTCGACCTTGTCCTCGGCACCAGATTGGCCATCCGGCTCGCGCTTTCCGCGCTTCACCGTCACAGCCGCCTTGAGCACAGCTTTCAGAGCTGATTTAACATTCTCCTCAGCTCAGGTCCACGGGATAGGCATAGCAAACCAAAGGCACAATGCCGCCATGCCTCTGGCTCAGGCCCGAAGTCGCGAGCTATCCCCACGAGGTTTTCGTAGATGCCCATCTTTGGCAGATGTGTAGCAGCGAGACCTGTCCCAACATGTGCTAACTAAACCCAAAACCCGGAGCTCACACCCCATCATTCACCGAACCCACCACAGACTTCCGCATTCAGACCTCGATAGAAAAAGCGACCCCTGATGAGGATGACCCCGTCTCGCTCATCCAGCATCAGGCAGCCCATATTCGCCTGGACAAGTTCTTCTGCAGAGTTCTTGCAAATGTGTGTTGGCCTCCCCTAGCTCCCAGGCGCCTTCTGATACACCTTTATGTCCAGCTCGGAATGCACACTTGCCAGGGATGTCAGAATCTGCCGGCACACTCGTACGCTGCTGTCGGAGTGCAAAGACTGAGCTTTGCAATACTCACGGAAATCCTGGAGATTCAGACTGAGAGCTACGACACACCGGCTCAGCCTTTGAATGCCGAATGGCGTGCAAGCGGTCCTGGAACGTGTCGTGTCTGGCCACCATCGTGGCACACATGCTGAAGTGATCGAGCGAGGGTGTGCCAGAGTCCCAGGCAGTTTCGGATGCTTGGATGGATGATGTTCTGTCCTCCGCCTGCTGCGCTGCCTTCTGGTGGTGGCGGCTGCTGGCATGGGTGCTCAAAGCAGAAATCTGCAGCATGGTGTCCGACATCACCGTGATGTCCGCAAAAGCGCTCTTGGACCTGGGAGTTGGAGCAGGTCTAATGAGTTCCCTGGCCCGGGAGCCACTGATCACTGATGCAGCCTTGCGACTTCCCAGCAAAGGAGTTGCACAGCCAACACCCGAAAGCCCACGGGCCAGAGAATGACGATGGTCGCTGTGTCAGCCATGTCCTCATCTCTCCTGCAACAGCTGCCGCATTTATGTCTGAAATGCCTGCATGCTATTGGTTCTAAGCGGATTCTTAAGCAGTCCTGTGGCTTCATGCCGGAAGGTAAACCTATTTTGCCAGGACATCTGCTCCAGGCTTTTGTGGACTTGCTTGGAGCCCTTTCTCAGGCAGCCGGTGAAGCCGGCTGCGAAGTAGCAGCGGTTGCCTGGATACCCACACAGTCATCAACCCTAAACCCTAAACCTTCGAACCAACCTGAAGAAGCACGCTGCAGCCAGGCAGCACCCCAGTCCCTTGGTGCATGTTCTTGCATGCTGCTCGTCGCTCTCTTGCTGTTCACCGGCTAGCTGGCACATCCTCGTCGGTTGAAGGCAGCCTTCTCGGGAATTCCGCAATCGATGAAGGAGCCTTTCTTGTTCGGCATCCATGATGAAGCACGCATGGGCAAGGCTGGATGATGCTGTATGGATGCTTGTCGCTTGCATGGGTTATCCGTGTCTGCTAGCGGAGCAGGCTATGCCTGAGAGCCGTTCGGGTTCGTGGCTCGTCTCAGCTGCTCCTGAGGCTCTCTTGCTACACTTGGGAATGTTACGCTAAAGGAAGCTGTAGAGCCTCCAGGGGTGAATCGGACATCTGCAACCCCCTCAACATTCATGCCAGCTACTAGCTCGTGTCCCTTCCTTGATCTCGATCTGTCAACCTATTACACCCCTACACCCTACCTCGCACGTGGCTTCCCTAACATTGGAACGGCTATCCGACCTTTATTCGAGCGATGACAACATGAGCAGTTGTCTGGATCCAGAACCCCTCCCACAAAAGTGCAATCACGAAGAGGACTCTCACATCATGATACTGCTACTGACATGGGAGACTTCAGGCCTCAGCAGCGGCCGCATCGGACCTGGCCAGGCAGTCCGATTTCCACGACAACTGAATAGAACATTCAGTGCTGTCGCAGGCCGGTAGCAGATTCAGATCATTTATATATCCACGCTGACAGATGCATGACGACTGGGCGTTCAGCTAAAACGGGTTCTTGCATCCCAAGCCAGCTTCAGCAGGCTACAAACACTTCAGATGCACCAACATAACAAAGAGTTTTCATGGTATGAGCTTGACCCAACTATCGCATTGCTGCGGAACCCCTTAACCCAACTATCGCATTGCTGCGGAACCCCTTAAGCCCAACTATCGCATTGCTGCGGAATCATTCCCCAAGCCCAACCTTCACTTCGGAGTTATCCGTGCCATTGACAGACCATGGCATTGCTGCAAGATAACTGTTTACGACATCTCTCATCTCTCGATCCTGACTGCCCCACTTGCTTAAGCAGGAAAGCCTCGCGGGTGAAGAAGTGCACACACTAAGCCTCCTTGGGCCCAGGCGTCCCACGAGATTCCATGGATAGAGGCGGCCGAGCCTGAGCGAAAACATCAACAAGCACTCTGCAATGGCAATGGTTTGGGCTGCAAGAAAACATCAAGCATGGGAGCACGGCTTCTGATTTCGCAGCCCCTCTGCGAGTGCATACACTGTGCCGCTCGGCTGGTAGAGCCAGCGGCAAATCACGCCCGCACGAGATTCTCCAATGCCAATTGGCATCGCACCAGCAATGCTGGAACTGTCTCTCGCTGCCGGCATGTTGCACGGACACACTTGGAGACAAAAGTTATCTGAGATTGCTGTGAATGCTCATGGTCTGGGCGCAGGCATTGCTTCGATCTCAAAGCAATCTTTTCATCCAACAGCTTCTGTACACGTCCAGCGGCCGATGCTGCGAGCACATGTTCTTTGTAGTTCTCCTTCAACAAGGAATGCCCCCCGCTGAAGGCAAAGAAAGCCAGGCAGCCCATCGCGAATACATCTGTGGATGCCGTCACCCAAACCTGCACAAGGCTGCTGTCAGGCATATTTCAGTGTCAAGACTTGCTATAGTACGGTGGCCGCGCCTTGCTGGAGCCAGCAATCATTGCTGCAGGAGGCCTGTAGTTCTGTGTGCAAACTTCTCGTCCAGGAAGCATGACTCCAAGCTGGTCGCCCGGCAGCTTTACGGCCAGGCCAAAGTCCGAAATCTTCAAGATCGCACTTCCATCACTCGCCCTGCAGACCAGTACGTTGTGTGGCTTCAAGTCCACGTGCAAGATGCGGTTGGAGTGGATGTAGCTCAGACCCTGTAGTATCTGATGAACATATCCCCATGACTTGATGACAGGCGGCAAGGACTCGCGGCAATGGTGAACGAAACAGCCTTCTGCAAGCTCCATCAGGAGCCCAACCCCTGTCGTGGAATTGTTGGGCCGGGAGACCAGACCAAAGGTACGGATCACATGAGGGTGTGCACTTCGGCGAAGATATTCGTCCTCTGTGATGATGCTCTCCCCCGTGGCTTCAGGACACGATGCCTCTGGCTGTTGGAATTTGCAGGCGTAAGACACTCCCGTGTATCCTGAGAGTCAAACTTGTAGCATCAGATTCCATGCTTGAGTTCACTACCAGACACATCTCAAGACAGACATGGCTCGGTCCGTCACCCGGCGCACCAAGCCATACCCCCCTTCGCCCAATGCCTCCATGACCTCCAAGCGGTTGCTGATGTGAGCCATTTGCACGGGCTCGGGTCGGGCTTCTCCCACAAAGCGATTTGCATCATCGTGGACCTGGACGGCCCCACGACCAATGCAAGAGAAAACCTGAACTGACGTTGACACTCAAAGACTGACCTCTGGCTCGTTGTCCGTGTCGTTCTCCCGACCGAGTGCCTCTGCTCGAAGTTCCTGCACAGGAGGCTGCCTGAGGCTGGTGAAAGAACAAAGCGGCATGGCCTTGTTGAAGGCTTTCTGCTTCGCGGCGTCTTGATAGAAAGGTTCTTTTTCTGCGTCTGTCATGAACTGCCTGAGCGAACATCTTTTGTCTGCACCTACTAGACTAGTCTTCCTTGAAGCTGTGCTGTAGTCTGGGGCCCGGACCACTTGGCACTGCAGCTGCCACGCTCGAACGAAATGGTCTTGCCACGGATCCGCGTCTTCATTTTTGGATGCACACCATGCCGCTTGGCATGGCTGCAAAAGGACGAGTAAGCATTCCTCGGGCGGCTGACACCCAATTTCGCATTCCGAACATATTTCCCCATGGCGCCAGGAAACAAAGCAGAGGTCCGGCAGAGGTCAAGGAGAGGTAATCAGAGGTCACTCTGCAGCAAGCAAAAACAGCCCAGAACAACCAAGGGCAGACATGATAAGCAAAGCGGGCATGGATTTAGCGCTTTTCAGCTCGGCAGTTGCGACATGGAGAATCGACACGACAGTCTGTGCGTGCCGTGGTTGCAGGGCAACCGTGCCGGTTCCAAAATCCAGCAGCTTCTGCAGAAACACTGGCGACCCCAGAAGCAGTTTGGAAACTTGTTCATGAGAGCTTTGACTGAAAATCGCACTGGAGTCTGTCAGTGTCGGACTCCATCGAAAATCAGGAGGAGCTGCTGCTGCTGCTGGTGCTGCTACTCTTCCTAGTCTTTTTAGGGGCAGAGCCTTTAGGAGAATCCACCTCCTTCTTCACAGCTCCGTCAGCATCTGTCCTGGCCATGTTCAAAAGTTACACTTGAATCTGCAGACATACTCACAAGATAAGTAAGGTCCTTGGCAGAAGAGTCTCAGCATTGGACTCCGTAGTGCTAGAGCCAGTCAAACTGTTCTCACGGCACAGAATCCGCTTGCGAATATTCCATGCGTGTGGATCCACATTCAACACCATTTCGGAGACGATGCGGAACATCACGTATTGGCGGAGAAACTTCAAGTGCACCTCCGAAGTGGCGAAGCCGACATAGTGAAAGCGACCCCTCACGGCCGCGAGAGCCGCAAGGCCACACCCTGCTGTGAAATCAATGATCCAGGTCTGAGACGGGCTTACCAGGTGGAATGCCGTGTAAATGCTTGTCCAGGCATCCTCGGAAGACGCCCACGGCCACAAGAGAACACCTCTTGCGGGCTCACACTCTGAAGCCTGGCTGCCTGCACCGTCCACAGCACCATCATCACTGTCTGAAACAGCATGTTCTTCGGCATCATCCGTGCCAGCCTCGGCTGCCTCCGCAGCCGCTTTCTGCTTCTCTGTCTTCGGCAGGAGCTTGCTCGCATCAAGCATGGTCGTCAACTCCATATCGCTCGGGTCTCTCAATCCCAGGCCTGTCCAAGCTCTGGAATAGGAGTCACTATGGACAAGCGGCAGTGCCCGCTGCGGAAGCGTGTACGCCTTGGGTTGAATGACAACCATGGTTTCCATCGGGTCTGGGCATGTTTGGGTCAAACACGTTCGCCTGGCCATCGCCAATCGCCCCGATCCCTCAAATTCCCGACAGTGGTAGAGCATGCGGACTGTGATCAAGCCGTTGGCCAGCTTGGGGAACATGCTCGCATGTGGCTTCATGCATCGGGCAAGCTCGGCTGTGATCTGCTTCTGGTTCGAAGGGGATCTGCCATCCATGCAGACAAACATGTCGCAGGCACGAAAGATCACCGGGTGAGCTCTGGAGCTGTCCTTCGCCAATGCGGGGTCCCCAAACCTCAGACTACTGACTGCACACCCTCATAAGGCATTCAACTGCTCAGTCGATTATATAGGGTCAAGGCACAAAGCCTCGCCGACAATCTTGATGTTCTTCTTCTCCAGGGCTGGGGGACGACGATACGGTGCATAGCTCGCCACCCGGCCAGTGTCTTTCGTCTCATTCTTGGTGTCATAGATGTAGACCCTGTTCTGTGCATCCGGAATGGATTGCAAAGCAGCTCTCAAGTTGGTCGCGTCAGTGGGCCAGACACGCAAGTCCAGGAATGTGTTGGCACCTGTGCAACACCCTGCTTCCTATGGGCAAAGCTGTGAGTCAGAGCATGTAATGTGATCCCACATAGGAGTCAAGCTGCGCAATCGTGCCGTTTCCAGCACTTGCTCAAACTGACTGTCGTCCGGAACCTTGTTCAGAATGTCCTTGGCTACAGACGACAAGGGCAAAGAGTCAAAGTAGATGCTTCGATCGAGGCGTTGGGGATGCTCAGCTGCCTCAATCAAGTCCTGGCACTGGTGCATGCATTCGTTCGGACACACACACACACACATTTATGTGAGTGCTTACACAGCCACTCCTCAGCAGAAACCTCAGGATCTTCAGGCAGCTCCGGCGGCGGAAGTGCCGTTGTCGATTCTGGCTTTGGCGGGGAAGGTGGAGCAACGGGTGGCGGTGCCGACGCTGCCTTCTCGTCTTGTGCAGTTTGGCTGGCCGCCTGCGTGACAGCCACGATGTCGAAGTGATCCTTCATAGACTGAGCCCTCAAGACCAGTTCGGCTGAAACCAAGGAATCCTTTTGGAGAAAGGTCTCGAGGCTCTCGTCAAGGGGCCCTCCTCCACGCATGAGCTTGGTCAGGAAATCGAATGTGTCCTGCAGGTAGGAAGGCATAGACGCCCTCCACGTCATCACAAGGGTGCTGCCATGATCGAGCCCGCTGTTCCGGAATTTCGCAAAGGTGCCGAAAATGCTGTCGATTGTGGGGATAGCGACACCGTCTGTTGGCTTCGCCGGCATGGTGACTCTCTTGCTGACATAATTGATGAGACGTTTCTTCAAGAGGCTCCTGGACACGGCCAGGTTAAAGGCCGCCTTGGCCACATCAAAGCTCACGGTACCACGCTGAACATCATTCTCGAAGTGTTCCAAACACCACAGGAGCAGCTGTCTCGACACGGCCTCGTTGCCACTCACATGTGTGCGTGTCACGAGGATGTCCAGGTTCTGCTGCGATGCTAGCGTGTGCCTGCTGCCAAACCGATCATCAAACTCAGCAATGATCTCTTGTGCACGAGCATCTGCAGCTGTAAGCCGCTTGTGAATTTTCAAACACTTCGAGATATTCTTGGCACTCATCCCCCGAATCTTGCCCTCTCCGAACCTAAGTGAGCTGTTCTTGCCTGGACACTGTATGAATGCAAGTTTCACAAGCCACGAGCTGCAACTAGGGCACCATTTCTCCAATGCATCCGCATTGGAGGGACGGCCCATGCCTTTCAAGGTGGCCTCCACAACGGCCATGCCAAGAATCTTTCTCCACCCTTGCAAGGTGAGGCTCTCTCGGGCATCACCTGTTGCACAAGGCTCCACAATCATAAATTTCCCTTGGTCCTAGAACACTGTGACGACTGCAGCGCCTACTTCTTCGGCCAATTCCCACTTCTTCCGCTCAACCATTGCCGCATCCGCCAGAAGAACGAACTTGACCTTTAGCACGGATAAGGAACAGAGGTGCGATTCAGCCGAGGCGAGACAGACGACAGACGAGTCACCCGGACAGCTCGTGCCAAGGATTCAAACTGCTTCGCCACCTTTGAATCTGCAGGCGCTGCCGCCCAACTGATCAAGAAAGCTGCCCCTTGGCATCGCAGGGAATGATTGCTTGAAGCTTTACGGTTTAGCAAGGAACCTATTCCAAGGACCAGGCGGTAGGCATCCCCGTTCAGAACCTCCATAATCTTGGGTGGCTGGGACTCATCCATTGCCCGGACCACCAGCACCTCGCCCCACGTCGGTGGGGCTTTGATGCTTCCGTCCGGCTCGGTGAAATGTCTGTGCTGCATGATCTTCACGGATCCTGCAGAAAAGGACAGCATACTAAGAAGCAAGGATGGGCAAAACAATGTGCAGTCCAGAGCCTTGGTTGGGAGGAATAGAAGGATGCGCCCAAGCCAGAAGAGAGAACTTGTCGAAGGTAATGTTGCATGTGTATTCCCGGTCTCTCTTCAAGGTTTGCTTGTAGGCCGTGGCATCGATCGCGAGCACACCACCCATGTCGCATGGGTCACCCAAGCCTGCCTGACAAGTGCATCATGGAAACATAAATGAGCATGGGTCAAGCCACGACTGCAGGCTGCCAGGCCTCCAGATTCACGGACTTGGCTGCTTCCAGCATCATGTCATTGACAGGGTGGGGCAGAGTCACTGCAGCTTTGCCTGCATTCTGTCCGGGCGCCTGCTTACCAGAACAACGACGGGTAGATGCCATCACTATTGCAAGCGAAGCTCGCTCGCAGAGGAGATCCTGATTCAGTTCGATGGAGAAATGCCCCGGCACATAATTCGAGTCTGGGATTATCTTGTGGGAAACGGAAAGCTCCCCAGACTTGCCCGTCAACGGGCAAGTCTGGGGGAGCTGGTTTTAAGCCCCGGAGTGGACTTTGTCAAGACCCTGCGCCCCAGACTTGGCATGACAAACCTCGTTGCGCACAACAAAACAACCTTCCCCAGACTAGCCCGTCGACGGGCAAGTCTGGGGAGGGCTCGGTTTTCCACGAAGGATTTCCAGACTAAATTCTTCCCCGGCCGAGGAACGAAGCTGGGAGGCATCATGCACACATAAAGTCAGCAACAATGCACGGCACAGAATTGTCACAGTCAGAATTTTCATCCGTGCCGGCCAAGGCTAGGTGACTGAGATCTTGCCTTCGACAGAACTAGCTGGCCGCGGCTTGCGGCTGCAGAAGCACAGCGGCTGCACACAGGAACAGACCCACTGCAGCTGGAACTACGCTCGACATTGCAACTCCAGCACCCTGCTGCCCCAGCATCTGTACATGGACTGTGCCAGACGGATAGCCATGTGCATTCAACAGCTCGTGATGCGACACAATATTTGCCTTAGGCCTGCCCTGCGGGGGTTCTGGCTGGTAGGTGAGGACAACAGTCTTCGCCTTGATGGGGGGCAATTCTTCCACATACACGCGGTGGTGGGTGAAGCGGGAGCTACTGGCATCACTTGTTAAAACATGATTCGCCAGCTTCTGCCTCTTGCAATGATTCTTCAAGATTGCCAAATGAACCTTCATAAGCTCACTTGCCTCAGAGTCTACATGCTGAAGCAGCTTCTGCATCTTCACACCAACAGCCTCATCAAGATCCACTGGCAGCCACCTGCTCTCAGATGCCTTGGCCGCCAAGTCTGAGAAGGTCCGCTGCTTCTTCGGTTCAGGCTCAACTGTCTCGCCTGCTTCAAGCACAGGACGTCTAAAGCACTCAGCAAACCCTCAGTCGACACCCTAAGACTCTCCCCTGGTCTGAAGACACAAAATAGTCTAGCCTTCGTCTGTCGCTGGTTCTGCACCCGATTGAACAGAACCGCCGGCAGTGTATGTTCCCGGCTGCAGCCATTCCTTGCGAGGCCCGTGCTGACCAAAATCCATGTGCTGCACCTTCAAGGACATGAGCGTTACAAGCTCATCCCGCCCGTGCCTGGAGGGAACGTGCTGACAAAAGGCGAGGATGTGGCTTTCAGCACTCAAAGGCACACCGAGGTTCTGGTAAGAGTACTGCTGAACAAAGGCCAACTGGTATCCCGGCATGTTCTCCCTCACATACTCATCCAAGCCTTTAGGCACCTCTCGCATGTCTACTGCAATGACATCAGCCTTGCACTCAGCCAGCAGCTTCAGCTGGGATACCTTCGTGATCTGTCCCAGCACAGCAGAATTCTTGCTTGGCAAGGACGGTGCGCCACACTTTGTGTTGAACATGGTCTTCCCGTCCTTGGGGCCTGTGTACATCACCCGACACATGGGGTGGACCCCGCTCGATGCACAGGTCTGTGTCAGCATACGATGACTGGGTCCCTGAAAGAGGATTCCTGCAGCCTGCATTTCTTTTCGATAAGCAATCACAGCATTGAACACCGGGTCCACTGCAGCGAAGAAAGTGGTGATATCGACACACGCCTGAGCCCTACCCACCAAGTCTCTGAAACTGGACCACAACTGTTCAAGAGGGGTGGTCGAGGGCATTGCTTCACCAGGCATCATACCTCACTTATCACAACTGAATGCCTGCCAGCCAAAGTCACCTGCGGGCGAATGTGGGTTGGGCCCAAGAGCAAAACAGCTGACTCTATTGCTCTTGCTGCATGCCATGAAGAAGACTGGAGCAAAGTGTCCTGAGCACATGATTTTGAACCTTCGCAAAGGTCCGACTGCTGACCGGCGGGCATCTAGGAATCTAGGAGCTGGCCGGAACATGTTGGAGGTAGCCGAGCTCTAACAAACAAGGAGTCAATGCACACACCATCATGGTGCAGGCCATGCCATTACCAGCAAAGCGGCGGATATCTGCTGCCGAGAAGGTATGTCCCACTTCACATCCCTTGAGCTTCTTCATGTGATGGCCGTGAATCTTAAAGAAGCTGACGGGTGAAATGACCGTCTGCGACTCGTGCTCGTACCACTTAGAGCTCGTGCAAACGGTCGCACAAGTACCTTGGGTGAACAACGTGCCACGGTTGGGGCTCTGAGACACATCTGCCAGCTTGGGTCTGCCATTCCCGCTGGAGCCTTCCTTAGAAATTTGGTGATCCAACATAAGGCCAAAGATATCGATCTGTGCACATTCCCATGCGGTCAAAGCATGGGAGAACTGCTTCGAAGGCCGCACCTTGGGAATCTTGACATCACTGGGGAGTCTGGCACAGTGAACTGCTTTGGCCAGCTGTTTCGAGAAGGCTGTGTGATACCGCGACTCAAAATCGGCCTTCTCTGTCACGCGCATTCCCTCAGAAGCCGACGTCACCAGATTCAACGGCTCAAGCATGCTGGACACACAGTGCTTGGGCATGGCCTGGCATCGCTCATGAAGTCGCTTGTGCATGTCTTCCAACCTCTGAGCCACCGTCGTCTCTGCGTTGTAAAAGAGCATCCTCTTTCTCGCACAGGGCAGCGGAGAGGCATCGCCCATCACACACTTGGTGACACGATCTGGGCCACTCGAAGCAGCGAGGCGCTCCATGACCGTGTTGAGCAAAGGATCCTGATTGCCGCCACCGCTGACACACCTGGGCAAGGGGAAGGGGCACACTGTCATGAAATAATGACCGAAAGTACTGTTGCACACTGCTGTCGGACATGGGAGTCTGAGAAGCAAGCCTCAAACCGCTCGTGTTTTCCAGCAAGACAATGTGGGGCTTGCGAAGCTGGATTGTGTCCTGGCACGCCTGCAGGGTCACGTGGGCCTTGGCACTGGCATCCTCAGAGAATCTGCCAGGATTCTGTACCGAAAAGGCCTTACACGAAAAGCCCGCGACGAAGATCTGTTCTCCTGAAGGGACGTCGCACGAGCATCCATGCCGCCAGCACATGCCCCGGCCATTCTTGATGTCGGCTGCCTCCTCAGAAATCTTCTTATCTTAGATTCTTACAGAAGTTTACCCGTGACTGTGCCAGACAACATGGTTTGTGCAGCGAAGTCCTGGAACACATGAAGTGGCTCGAAATTTGTCATCAAGAACTGTGCTGCAGCCGGATCTTGTTCGACGGCATACAGCTCACGAATCCATTCCTTGCCCAACATCATCCCCAAACAGTGGATCGGTGTCCCCACGCCACTGCAGGAAGTAGCAACCTCAAGAACCGACCATGAAGCCTTGTCCGTCTTTCGGATGTTAAGGGCCCGCCAGAGATCTGAGATGAAGGTCTTCAAGCAAAACTTATCCTCCGTGATATTCGGGAGGACAGGCTCTGGACGAGCCCGAGGCTTCGCAGCAGCAGGCCGCTTCAAAGTCCTGGTTTTCTTGGAGCCAGCACGTTTGGCCTTCGGAGCCATTGTCACCAAGACGACTGGCTAGTAGAATGCACAAATGCACAATTTGAAGAATTAGCCGAAGCTGTCTGTCACGCCTGTTGGCATTACACGCGAACCAAATGTTGGGAACCCCTTCTGTGCATCAGCCTAGTCTAACCTGCAGGCAACAAAACTGCGAAAATATGATGCCACACACGCAGAGATTCTCAGAAGGAATGTGTCAATGCAGCACACAAGGCTCAGGCATCAGCAAATGCTAGGCCAAGGCCGACCAAACCCGAAACCTGGAACCTTTTACTCGGATTGGTCCATCTTTCACCTTTGTATAAGAGAGCCTTAGCCCCCGAAGTCCTCCCGCTCAGAACCGCAAAATTTAGGCTTCGGGTTTAGAGATGGCAGCCGTGGATTGTCGATCCCAATTGGCCCGTCTGGCTGAGGAGCCGGCAGGCCAAATCAATACACATTGGACATCCTGCACACAATGAGCGGGGACATTGAAATGGAATATTAGCACTGCTCATCACAACTTTCAGGCTAAACTCCTAAACGGCGTTCTTTCCAGGCCAACCAAACGAGTACACGAACGAGTCTCGGGGCTCAAGCAGGCGACCGTCACAGTCCTCTAATTTAATCAACAGCCCAAGAATGATAGAAGAGCAAGCAGGCCTGCCACCAACATAAGTGGACCGCACCACTCCTAAAGTCTACAAATACCGCACTGCCACAGTGCGCGCGCACTGCTAAGTAAGGCCACTGCCACCTTGAGTCTGCGGGCAGTTAAACAGAGTGATATGAATCCTGACATGGCACCCATGCCGCGAAGCCTGCTGCAGAAATGCCAGGGGCCAGCCGCCATCTCAGGACCTCGTTTCCACAGACAGCGATACACCGACACCCACCGGGTCACCCACCCACACAGACACAGCAAGTCATGTTTTTTTAATCTTCAGCAAAGTGAATCCGAATCTGGTCTCAGTCTCATGACAGAAGTCTTGAAAGTTGCACCGATGATGCTGCGGGACAGTCTTCCAAAATCTGACCCACATGCCAGCAATATGCTGAGCGAAATCGATGCACGCGGAAAACAACTACGACGAGAGTCCAGGGGCCGAATCTTCTGACTCTGACACCGCTTCACCCGCCGCTTCACGATCGGCCGGAGTGTTCAAGCAGTCCAGCTCGGCTTTGATGTCACGGAGCTGCTTTCGCAAGGTCTTGGCACGCTTGCTGCGCCTTGTGGACAGCTGCTTCTGCACAACTAAACAAGATGGCTTGCATTGCAGTGTTGAAAACCCCTGGACAAAGGAACCCTCACCCTAGCTGCACCTGCTGGTCTGCAGTGGCTTTAGAATGTCTGCCAGGCTCCTGGTCCAACTGGTACTGCTGGTTGCAGTCAAGTCCAGGTTGCCGCGGGAGATCATCAAGGCCTTCGACTGGCCACGCAACCAATTGTAGTTGCGGCTCACGTCGGCCTTCAAGTCACCAGGCGGAGCCTTTGCCGTCAGGAGCCAGTAAGTGCAGAGAGCATCGGACCCGGGCACCCAGCGCACGGAGAACTCCTCTAACATTGCTGGGGACTGAGGCTCTTCTTTTTTAAGCATGCAAGCTCTAGTGTTTAAAGACTGCAAGTCCTCGCTGTCTCGGAGCACGTTTGCCGGAATAGTAAGCTCCACCAAATGGGCGACCACCATGGCCTTCTTGTACAAATTCTGCACCAGGACTGCATCCGTCGGGCTCGTGAAGAGGACCAAGCTGTGCTTCAGCGGAATCTTCTTATTGTCCACGGTGTTCTTGTGCACATACTGCGCCATCCAGGTTGCAGGCTCCTGAAGAGCTGCAACACGAATGCCTTAAACAAACTGGATGAACCCTCAGCAATGAGAACCCGAAAAAAGCCAATGCCAAGCACCCCAATCGGAACTTCGGACAGGGCCGTATTCTTGTCCACAGCAATCGCATCAAGCGGGGTCTCCGTGACCACGATGAATCTCCAATGGATCTCCTCTCCGAGGGGGCCATTCATGACAGAGCACACCGGGCTCACACCAGCCGCCACCTCATGCATCCCGACCGAAACATCCCAACTCTCGGACTGCAGGCCGAAGTGAGCACGAGCACCAACAGGACCGAAGCGATGATCCACTCCAAAATGGAGAGAATCAAGCAAAATGCGGCCAGACTTGGACTCGGGAAAGGTAGTCATGGCCTTGGTCGATTTGACTGTCAGCTTCAAGACGACGAAGTTCCTCGGCAGCTCTTTCCGGCCCGCCATGGACACCGTACGATCATGGGCCTGGGAGATGTTGAGCTTCAGACGCCTGCCCTCAGAGAAAAGAGCCGCCTCAGATCCAATGAACATTGCAACAGGGTTGAAGCATCCTGATGATTCAACTCAAACGAATGGACACCCAGCCCAAAGCCTCGGCCCATAATGGCCAAAAACAAGTACTCTTGCACAATCTATTCGAGCTGCAAACACAGCCTGCTCCGGACTACTTGTCAAGACGGGCCCATGAATCTTCACATCTTGAAGCTCCATATAGTCGAGGTCCATCATAAGGAGATCCCACTGAGCCTTTCGGATAGCCACAAACCACGACGACATGATGGCTCGGGGCTGAAGGCAATGGGCGACAGAAGCAGCACACTTGAACGAAAACACCGGCTGGAGGGTTGCAAGAAGTATGTGCCAAGGTTAGGGTAGTAGTATCGGGAGCCCGCCACAGAGCATATGGCATGCTGGGATCAATCAATGAGAAGAGAAGCATATCTTCATGCAAATTTGCTGCCGAGTCTACTGGAAGCTTCACACACAGAGCTAATGGTCAAGCACCCTGCTAGGGTCACCGCTGTAACAAGGGTTTAGAGTTTAGGGTTAATCCAACCTGAAATCCCCATTCTACCGCACGGCTACCCTAAAACTAAAACCCAAATTAGAGCCGAACTGACGACAAGGCCCAGGCCATCCACGCTTGAAGGCTCGTCGTAGCAGCCCAAGCACCGTGCACCGACCTGGTGCATTCGCTGACACAGCATGGATTCAGGACTAGCGCAGCAGTCCAGGTAATGGGCAAGCGGTGCACTGGCAGCTTGCAGAGCAGACTGAAGGCACGGCGATCAGAACTTCAACACACAACGCAGTGACACTGCTTGAAGGTTCAACCTCTCCATCCGCTGATACTGAAAGTCTTGAGTCAGGGCCCCGACTCCGGAGCAGCCAATGAAGCCAGACCTGGGCAAGTTCGTATTAACCCTTCTCATGCCTTACGGGTACGAGGTTCTGCAATATTAAGGGATCAGAATCTTCAACAGGCTACCAAGAGGAAGAAGGCACACTCAAGTGAACGCAGCACGTGACATGAGTCTGGCTACAGTCTTGTCAAAGTCGGCACGCCTGCAACACTGGTCACACTGACTGAGTGGGGAGCTTCCATGAAGATTGCCACTGCTTGTCCTGCAAATCGAGATGTTCAGTGGGTGCACTCAGCAAACCCCTCCGCTCAAGACAGTCTGCACTCAGCACGGCTAATAACCTACGCCGCCGAAGCCAAAAACTCCAGTGTCATTATCATCGGCTGCAACTGAAGCATTGCATTTTTTCAAGAGCAGACGGCAGCAAAAGGAGCTTGGCCGGACGAAGCATCGATGAGACCCAGGATAGGCTCTCTCTCTCTCTCTCTCTCTCTCTCTCTTTCTATATATATGCATATATATATATATATATATATTTATTTATTTATTTATTTTACAGTATTATATGGCGGGCCCCCGCAGGTTGCTTCCTCCGTGCATTGCAAGCGGCGACCGACTGCATCTACCATCGGAAGACTACCATCCGAAGACTACCACCGGAAGAGGAAATCCATGGCACGTTACTTTGTTGAGCTGAGCTATGGTAGTACTTTGAAAGGATAGAGACGATTTCATGACAATGACGAGGATTTAGGGTTTCCTCTTCCGGCGCTTCTTCTTCTCTGCTTCAGCAGCTGCCTCATCGAGCTCCTGCTGCGCCAGCCGTCGCTTCTCCCAGTAGGCCGCATCCATCTCGGCCTTCAGGCGCTCATAGCACTCTGCCTGAGATGGAGAAGGACCTATCTTTGGGTGCTTATTACTTAAACCCCTTAAACCCTAAACCCGAAACTCCACACCCTAAACCCAAATTCCAGCCCAGGCTCGAACACCTCATAGCGAGCCACCGCTCCGGAAACCGGATTGAACCAGTGCCGAATAGACTTGCCACTCCCCCACTGGTCCCAGAGCTCCCAGGGCTCAAAGCCAGGCGGCAGAGGCTCAGCATCGGGAAGCCCCTCAGTGACACCCATAATTCAGAATCCGACCCACCCCTGAATCAAACAAACTTCAACCCCATTGCACTCCGACAACAGAATTTGCTAACTGGAATCCCAGAATCCTGCATCACTTGAGGGATTTTCCAGGAGCAGACCCTGGCCTTGCTATGGAAGCAGTACATATTGCCATCCTCGAGCAACACCTTGGTCCACCCGAATGGCAGCTGCTCCTGGCAGGGATCAGGGTCGATGCTCAGTAAAAATTTGATTGATATACTATCTTGTCTTAAGCTGCTTTGTTCCTAAACCCTAAACCCCTAAACCCTAAATCTGTCGGAAAGATTGCAGAACAGTACGGTTGGCAGGGGGGTGTCTATTGAATCTCTAACCAAGGAAAGTAGTAGACTGAAGCTTTCAGCAAAGAGTCTTGCCGCTTGATGTCCGCGAGCTTCTCGAAGGGCCATTGAGGCTCAGCAGCTGACTCGGAAGGCTCCTCTGGTCCAGGCTCCGATGCAGCAGCTGGTGCCTCACCTGCCGCTGATGATGCCGCCGGTGCAGCTTCAGATGACACCTCAGTGTCAGTGTCGCAGGGCGCAATCGTCGTCGGTGGCGTCGGTGGGACAGCGACATCTTCTGGGAGCGAAGTCGGAGACCTCGTAGCCTCCGACAAGTTATCCCCAGCAGCGGAGCCTGCGACAGCCGGAAATTCTTTTAACTCTACTTTCCATCCTTATTACTGCTTGGGGCTTGGGATAAGACTATAATCGCATGCCCCAGAACCCTACCCCCTACCCTGTAACCCTTGATGATGATTTCGACAACGAGTGAGTCTGCCGCTTTTTGAAGACCGGGACCTCTGTGTCGCCCCGCATGCTGCTGATCTCCAGAATCCGCCGGTGTCTCCTGGATTGACTGCTTCAACCAGCAAAATAGAGCCCGATCAAACCGAACCCCAAGAAGACCTAGCCATTCCAGAAGCAAAATCCGTAGGGAACCCCACACAAAAACTCTTCTGCTGGCCACTCTGGTCCAGGCACAGGACCAGCCGATGGAGCAGATGCCTCAGCTGCAACGGCAGCAGCAGCAGCAGCAAACAGCGGATCTCCAGCCAGCGGATCTCCAGCTGCAGCCGCAGGCGCCCGCGGCCGAGGTGCGATCTGCAGGAGTATTATTAGATAATGATGGGGCAGGATATGTTACCGTTACCCTTACTAAGACTAACTAATAAAGCTGCCATTTGCAAACTGGCTACCACTGTCGGAGCCTGCAATGGGCCGTACTGGCCTTGGGCTCGCCGCTGCACACGGCCTTGCCCCCGCTGGCCCCACCATTCGCGAGGAGCCACACCCAGTGGCTTGGAGAAGGGAGGCATGGCGAAAGCAAAACCCACTAAAAGAACCCTAGAGTTTAGGGTTCTTTAGGGTTTAATCCTAAACCTTAAAACCTGAAGCAACCCTAAACCCTAAGCCTTAAACCTTGGACCTCTGAACCCCAAAGCCGAAGCCCCGAAGGATGGAAGAAATGGATTCTGAAGCCCGAGGAGCTTAGGGTTTAGTTTAGGGTTTAGGGTTGAGGGCTTAGGGCTGCTATGAATCTGTCACGATCGCATCGTTGAACTCCACCCAGACCCGAATGCCCTGAAGTCTCAAGGGGTTGGGGTTGAGGCTGTGAGGATGTGTGGGGATTCTGGACTGGAAATGTAGGAGGATCATGATCATCATACAGTTTGGGCCTCACATTGCGGTTGGGCTTGCTTCAAGGTCAACGTGAATCTGACTGAATCCTGAATGAGAGGTGCAGCAGGAGTCCTGACATCTCCACCGGGATCGTCGAAGATGGTGAAGCCGGGCCTGGGGCAGAAGGACAGGCCAGGGGGAAATGTAAACCCAAAGTCGCGGGTTTAGGGTTTAAGGGTTTAGGGTTTAAGGGTTTAGAGCCCTGCACCTATGGAACCTGCTGAGGGTGTAGGGTTTCACATCTGTTTTAAAAGGAATGCATCTTAACTTATCTTGTTGTGCTTGGGTTTGAGGTATTTGATGGGTTCCAGCGGGGATACAAGGTTGCCTGGCATGGGGCCAATGGGGCTTGCCGGCTTTGGGTGCTTTGGGTTTGGGATCCTAGTTATTTTGGATTACAGACTAAAGTAAGAACCATGTAGGTGTTAGGCACCCAGATAGCGGGATTACCGAAAGGTGCTAGTGATAGCAAGCCCAAACACCGCCCAATAGTCTTAAATCCCCTACTGTAGATCCTGAACCCCGCAAAACTCCTACACCCTGAAGTAAAGCCTAGACCCGAAAAGCTAAACCTCCAAAGTATATAAGCCTAAACCCTAAACCTTAACCCTGAAGCCTAAACCCCTAAACACTAGACCCTCTCAACCAAATAGCGCCTTGCGGCGAACAACCCAGTAACGCTTTGCAGCGAAAAACCCACTAGCGCTTTGCAGCGCACTAGCACCTTGCGGCGATTGACCCACTAGCGAACCGAATAAATTTAAAACCCACCCACTACTAGCACCTTGCGGCGAACCCTGATTCCTAAACCCTAAGTGCTAGAAAAGCCCTTTGACTTAATTATTAACCGCCTAAATACCCACATGGCCTTCCTCGCTCCTGTAGCTTGTCGAAGGTTCCTGCCAAGTCAGACCAGTCGGGCAGCAGGGTGGGCAACTCAACGACAAACAGAGTCCAAAGCCTGCTGTGCACTGAAAGACACCAAGCGTGCTACAACTTATTTGGCCGGCCTGCGACAGCGATGAGATCGTGATGCACGTTGAAGAAGGCATCGGACCTCGCGAAGTTCAGGTTGTAGGGTTTAGGCTTTAGGGCTTAGAGTTTAGGGCTTAGCCTTTAGGGTTTAGATTTTCGGGTTTAGGGTTTAGGGGTCGGGCTTAGGGTTTAGGGTTTGGGGTCTAGTGTTTTGGGTTTAGGGTGTGGAGTTTCGGGTTTAGGGTTTAAGGGGTTTAAGTCATAAGCACCCAAAGAGCACCGACAGGCGATAGTTATGAAAGGCGATCGATATTTATATTATATATATATATAGCATGGACTAGGAAGTTTAGGGTCTAGGGTTTAGAGGCGGTAAACCCGAAATCCTCGTGGGAGTCAAAGTCCTAATTCTCTTTAGGTTTTAGGGTTAAGGTTTTAGGGTTTTAGAGTGTGTCACCCCCTGAGAGAAGTATGACTACAGACACCCCAATCTGCCAACCCCTGAAGAATCCCTCAACATCCTATATACAAACCCTAAACCCTAAACCCTAAAGACTAAACCCTAAAATCTAACCCTAAAGCCTAAACTCTACAACCTAAACCCTAGAGCCTAAACCCTAAAGCCTAAACTAAGTCTAAACTACCGCCTTTCGGCGCATTATCGCTTTTCAGCGCAGGACTATCACCTTTCGGCGCTTAGGGCTTAGGGTCTAGGGTTCGGGGTTATCACCTTTCGGCGCTTAGGGCTGAGGGTCTAATAGGGTTCGGGGTTATCACCTTTCGGCGCTTAGGGCTTGGGGTATAATAGGGTCCGGGGTTATCACCTTTCGGCGCTTAGGGCTTAAGGTTCGGGGTTATCACCTTTCGGCGCTTAGTCTAGGGTTCGGGGCTATCACCTTTCGGCGCTTAGGGCTTAGGGTCTAGGGTTCGGGGTGAAAAGACCCAACCTACCATAAATTCAAAATCCCAACCTACCCTAAACCCTAAACTCCAATCCCAAGCCCGAGCTGTCTGGGAGTCCCGGCTCAGCAAGTGGCGGCCACCCAGGTCGGCAGCAGCTTGTAGGGTTTAGGGTTTTACATTTAACGATTTAAAGGCTATTTAATAGTAGAGCCCAAGCATCCTATGCAACCGCAAGACCACTTTAAGTTAGAAACACCCGGCAAAATCAGCAAAAAAGCAAAAAAGGAAAAAAGTAGCAAAGAGGGGTGAAGTAGATGTCTCTCTACAGGTAGCTGAATCCCTGAGATGAAGAATGCAAAAAGCGGAGGCTGCCGCTTGAGACAGCGGTCGAGGGGGCCTGCATCAGCGACTCCGAGAATCGTAGTCCATGCAGCCGAATGGGTGGTGCTGGTGCTGGTGCTGGTGCTGGTGCTGGTGCTGGTGCTGGTGCTGGGGGCTGGTGCTGTGCTGCTGGTGCTGGTGCTGCTGGTGCTGGTGCTGCTGGTGCTGATGCTGTGCTGGTGCTGCTGGTGCTGGTGCTGGTGCTGGTGCTGGTGCTGCTGGTGCTGGTGCTGGTGCTGGTGCTGGTGCTGGTGCTGGTGCTGGTGCTGGTGCTGGTGCTGGTGCTGGTGCTGGTGCTGGTGCTGGTGCTGCTGGTGCTGCTGGTGCTGCTGGTGCTGCTGGTGCTGCTGGTGCTGCTGGTGCTGCTGGTGCTGCTGGTGCTGCTGGTGCTGCTGGTGCTGCTGGTGCTGCTGCGGTGCTGTGCTGCTGCTGCTGGTGCTGCTGGTGCTGCTGGTGCTGCTGGTGCTGCTGGTGCTGCTGCTGGTGGTGGTGGTGGTGGTGGTCCGTGGTGGTGGTGGTGGTGGCCGGCGGTGGTGGTGGTGGCGGTGGTGGCGGCGGTAGTGGTGGTGCTGCTAACGAAAGCTAAGCCAAGCACTAAACGCAAATCCTTACCGTACTGCCGGGAAAGCCGGCCTCAACGAGGCTTCGAACGCAAATCCCAAAAATATTGGGACGGTGTTCGGGGTTCGGGCCGGTGGAGGCTTTGGTTTGAAACCAGCTTTCTAGTCTTCTCGTCATTAAGAAGCAAGGCTAGTTGGCATTTGAAGCCTGGTGGAATCTCAATTTGAAGCCGGCTTCGACGAAGCTTCAAACGCAAGCCCCCGATACATGGAGGGTGTTCGAGAGGCCGTGGAATAGATGTCGACGGCAACTTATGGGCGCGTTAATCCTTCTGGCAGCCCCGAATGCAACCGTGACGAAGCGTACGGCAGCTGAAGTTTCCGCATTAAGCACAAGTTTGAAGCCAGCCTCAACGAAGCTTCTAACGCAGACGTGTCAGTTTACGAAGCCGCCAAATTCTAATCACAACAACTCGAGCGAATCTTAATCCGCTCCCACCCTCAAGAACGACTTTTTGTTCCGTGCGAAATGGAGTTGAAGCCACCCCTAGCGACAAGGCTTCAATCGCAAATCCCGAACATTTGAGACCCAATGAAGCTTAAAACAATTCTTAAGGAAAGAGTAACCCAGCTGTCTTGTGGTAGGCCCGGCACCGGCCACACGACACAGCCACTAGAATTTTAGTCCGGTTGTTCTCCCAAGTCTCGGGTTTTTCTTGATGTGTGACGCGGCTCCGGTTTAACTGGGAACACAGGTGGCATCTTTTCGAGTAGTCTAGCTTCAGTGGGCAAAATTTTGTAGAGATTACCAGCCTGCCATGACAACCGGTGAACCCGTGAACATGGAGTGGAGGAAGGTAACATTGGCCGGCCAGCAGTCACCAGCTCGTGTGGCCTAATGGATAAGGCGCCTCCCTCCTAAGGAGGAGATTGCGGGTTCGAGTCCCGCCTCGAGTATGTCCGAAAGCCTGCAGGACAACGGCGGTTCCATTGGTCGCTTCCATGGTGTGCCCTGCAAGGGTAAGGCAACTGCAACGACGGGTTCGTTTCACGGGGGTCCACGGAAAAGGTTGATTCATGATTCATATGGTCATATGGCCCTCTAACACCATGCTAGTAGGGGGGATTGAGTTTGCACCCGCGGTTGAAGCCTCGCTGAAGCCGGCTTCACTGGCACCTCGCAAGACTCACCAAGATCCCGCCCAGCAACGGCGGGGGATTTGCACTGGAAGTTTCGTTGAAGCCGGCCTCAAACTCTCCGCACAGGTCCACACACCACCGCGGCATCGGGGCATCGTTTAAGCTGGCCTCAACTTGACATGACACAATGCCCCAAGAACAAGCAGAAGCCAACCGGTTGTGCTGAGTCACATCATCTGTCACCTCTATGGGATGCACTGTTCTAGAGCCAGGCTGACTGTGCCTCAGGGCCGCTGCGACCGTCATGTTTTCGAATGCACCAGATCTCTTTCGAACTCCGAAGATACGCCGTGGAGAGCCCGCCTATAGTACTGGCCTGGAGGACCGGCTGGGAAGCACTTAGGACCAAGGATGCTGTCAGCGATCAGCCATGGGTAGCACCTGGGAATCGTAGTTTTCACT